GTATAGAAACAGTCGCGGCTCTAGGATATATTTTCTGGGGTGGGGGGGGGCTAAGTTGTCCGACAGTGGGGATTTGAGCTCGTAGGCTCGAGCTGGAGGAAGGGGTTGAGAGGAGGTTTCCCCTCCCAAATGAGATTTTTTATATCAACCTCTGGATGGCCGAAAATGGCACACTCAGACTGTGACAGACATGTGTTGGCTTGGTGTGGGCCTATTTTTATGTTTTATGGTCTGACTACCCGACGAGCTCTGTCCGGCGGGGGGGGGGGTTGACCTGTCCGGTCCGGTGGGGGCTTAAGCCCCCCCCCCCCCCCCTCCCCGCTGGCGCCGCCACTGTATAGAAAACGAAACTGTTCGGACCCCCTATGGTAGTGTTTCCTCTCGATCGCCCTCCACCCGTAAACTTTAAAATAGCTAAAAATATAAATCAACCCGAGGTTCAGTAAACTCGAGGCTTGTAGATTTAAGATTAATGTGAAACAAATGGGACTTAATTGTGGCCCAACACTTGTAAAGACAGGAAGTACAGCAGTGATTGAATGGTCATATAGCGACTGTTGACTTGGGATTAATTGTAATCTAGAGTCACAGAAGCAAACACAAATTATAGCTGGGTCACATTGATGGCATGAAGCTGTTAGTTTTGCAAACAAAACAAATCATGGGCTAGCTATTGAGTTGGGGGGGGGGGCGTTACTTGTAACACGAGTGATTTTGCTCAGCCATGTTTTTATACATGTATTTGTTTTTATGTGAAGTGAAATAAAATAATAAAAATAATAATGGCAATAACAATAATAATTAAAGTAGTTCAATAAAATAATGAAAAAAAAAAATGGCAATAATAAGAGCAAAAATAAAAATAATGAAATGAAATTACTGTAGGTGTGTCACATTAGTCTGTATTAAATCAATATACATGAATTATCTCTGTCTACTATGACAATGACATACCATACCACAACTTCTCCTGCACATACAAAATTATTCCTGTTGTATGATTAACAATAATATAATGACAATGATGGTGATGGTATGATGATGATGGTGAAGATGAGGAGGAGGACGATGATGAAAATGATGATGATAATAATATATCATTCTAATTATAATAAATATATATTTATTTAACAATAATTATAATAATAATCATAATTACAATTAATGTGCTAGCACAGCTATGAAAAACAGAATCATAAAAACATTCTGAAAACCAAAAGATTAACAAAAAATAACTGAAATCAAGGGATATAGACAAAGACAAAAAACAGAAAAAAGTTGTCTGACGAAAAACTGGGGAATGGTGAACGAGATGCAGATTTTTGAATATAACAACCCATTTTTACACCTTCCCCTCCCCCCCAGTTTTTAAATATTTAAAAATCTGTATCTCATTCACCGTTGCTCAGTTTTTGATCAAACTACTTTTTTCTGTCTTTTCCTCCGGAGCCTGACTTTAATGTATTATGCTAAATTATCAGAATTTCTTTACAGAAGCTATCAAGTAATTCAGTATCGAAACTGCCTAGTAAATTGCTTAACTGCCTCAATTAAAATACAGTGCAGTACTTTGGTGTATAGGGCACCACAGGCTTAAATGTCCCCATAGATTTAAAGTATTAATGTCAAGCTATCATGCAATGTCCTTTGAGAATCCTCATAAATATTCATATATTACTACTGTATTACTTTTCAAATTGCGTAGTTACTTTTTATAAGTTCTCTCTTGTAATGCATCACAGAACTTGACCAAGAATATTATGAAGTATAATAGTAGTAACAAAAATCAATCATCAGAAATGAAAACTATAAAGTAACGGCTCACGTTATTTTCACCCTATAATAGAAAATATGATAGGAATATTAATATGATGATGTGTCAGTGCCATCAAGCATTAATTAATGAGAATTTTATAGCTAATATATAACTCTTGACGACTGCTTGATACTGATCACAGTAATTGTAACAATCACTATAATAATAATAATGAACCAACATAACTGTAATACGTAATGCCAATGGGTAATAATATATTCATTTTCGACAAATTCTGATGTGCATTATATACGGGGAAACGATATGGCATTTTTTTTTTATTGGAATAAATCAGTAAAAATGTATAACCTTTACAGAATGAGTTAGTAGACAAATGTTATATCAACTACGGAATGTGAGGACACAATCATTGCAATTTATATCCAAACAATAAACCAATAAAAATATATAAAATGTTCAATATCTTGATAACAGATAACCATTGTACTGTACACATAATAAAGCATAAATAATGTCCCTTAATGAGCCTCTATCTCTATAAATGTTTTGGAAATTTTTATTGCAACACCTATTGGCAAACTATACGTTACATAAACCTCTTTTAAAATTTAGCAAGGGGGAGGGAAGACTCATCTTCTGCATTATATGGCATGGCATAACCAGGAAAAAGCGTTTTTTATGAGCCCCTTACTTAAGAGGTTTAGTCCATACATAAGTGGTTATAGAATTCAATCAATCAATCAATCATTATCTATTCCGCTTTTTTCTTTTACAATACAGTTACCGGTACTGTGGATTGAGAGGATATGATCATTGGAATTTATACCCAAACAATAAAGCAATAAAAATACAGAGATTTCTCATCGAAACCTTGATAACAAATAACCATTGAACCATACATACTGTATATAAACAAAGTTGTGTTTATATTTTAGTCTCTATTGTGTATTCATTTGAATAAATTGACACAAGAAGGATCTGACTGGAAATAAGTAATTCAGACTTCTGTGAGCAGTTGTGCACTAATATATAACAAATATTCATTGTACTGTACAATCTTAATTTCATAATCCAAAATATATCTAATTTCATTCTTTAAAAATTGAGATATCATAACAACACTAATAACTAATAACTTCCTGAAAACCAGGTTACACTCTTGTTAACCTCAGTTTTAAAAAAATAATTAACAATAAGAGAAAATTGTGAACATTTTGATGACCAGTTGAAAACAGAATGCCCTTAATAATGAAAACACTACGCACATTTTTTAAATCGTTTTTTTCAAAAATCAATGTTTTTTTAGATTTAATATAAACAAAAATGTATACACTGTATTATGACGGAGTCTTGCTATTATTTACATAACTTTTTTGATAACAATGAAAGTAAAGAAATGGAGAGGCACTGTGTTTACATATTCAAAGCGAAAGTACACTTCATTTTATAATGCATTCATCTTTACCCAGAATGCACTATGAACTTCTGACTTTGCAATAACATCTGTGTTTGCACAATTTACTCAATTTTGAGTAGTAACCACAACAGATATTTTATTAATTGTACATCTTTACAAGATATACTGTAATAACATGAAATATATATTATTATTATTATTATTATTATTATTATTATTATTAATTTTTACTTTTTAAAGTGATAGTGATAATGCAAATTATAATAATATAAAAATCGATTTACTATTAAACGTTTTAACAAGAAATTTAATAATATTCTATCAATTATCAGCTAATACAATCTATGCAAAAGCATACAGTATAGAAAAGGACTATGTGTCTGTTAAATTGTTGAAGACAGTTTTTTAATTACACAGTAATTTTAAATTTAATGCTACAGTAATGGTTTACTTTATGCAAGCAATCCATATACTGATCTATTTTTTCAATTTTTTTTTTTTTTCGCTCAACACCCACAGTATAATATTTTTTTAGCAAATCTTAATTACAAAATAGATTGGAAAAATTTATTTTTAATATTGAAACAACACATTTCAGGTGAGCCATGGATTCCAATATGTTGACCATGATTACTGTACGTTACCTCTTTACCTGAGGTCAAACGAAGAACAAGTCAAAATGGTAAAGGTACTGTATGTAAATTGAAATATACTTTTAATCAGCAGAACACTCTCCATGGAATCAGCAGTATACTCTCCATGGACCAGCTAAACACACAACATAATAGCCTACTTCGATTTTGGTTAACTCCGGAATAAACATTCTGCTTTGAGTATCATAATCACCATCCATTCAAGGGGTATAAAACAAGGGTTAGGACATACTGTATCCATATTTCACAGCATATAATTATTGTTTAGTATCAACTCGTATAATAGGGCATAACATTGTTTGTAAATCTAGAATACCATAAAACTGTAGTCATCTGATACTGTATATTACATAAGCAGAGCTTGACAGGTCACGATAGCGTTACAACTGTGCTTAGAACAACCATTGTGAAATATTGCAGATGACAGAATGATCAATTTAGCATTGCAATGGTAATCTTAAATTTGCTGGTTAAATTTCCAGCAAGCATATTTCCTTTTTTCCATGAAATGTATTTCATTACTGGTCAATTACTTGTATCTTGTATATCCAATATAACAGGGGTAACATGTATTTGATCTTTTTACATCAACTTTTTTAGGTCCATCCATAGTATACTCACTATATCGGCACTAACATTCCATCACATGTATGTAACAACATATAACATAATCATCATATAATGTCAACTTACTGTATATCATATCTCATACAGTTACAGTATATACAGTATTTCACAAGCATGGTGAATAATAGCTGGCCCACAGATATTATATTAAAACGTTTGTTGGGAGCGAAGTATTAGCTTTCCTTGACATGGTTCAGCAGACACCTCTGAATTCTGAATTGCATTTTAGATAGGGCGAGACTTTTTTTATTCCTTGTTTCGCATTCTTACTTTATTAAAGATTATCGGAAGAGGGCGGAATAAAAATAAAATATAATTTTGTTTTCTTATTTAGCAAATAGTTTTGCCAACATTATCCAGATGGAGGAGAAAATAAAAATAAAATTTTATTGGCGAATGTAAAATAGGATGTTTAAATGTTTCAAAATTTATATAATTAGGAAGAAATATACATATCTTATCTTTGGAGATTTCAAGGCAGCGGAGGGCAAAATAAAAATAAAGAAAAAGTTTTATTTTTTTCTGAATTTCCACTTTTTCGTGGCGGCTGGTTCGCTAACTGGCCAAAAATAAAATTTTATTTTTATTAGAAATCATCAATATTTGTATTTGACGGGTTCCCTAAACAAGGTATAAAAAAAGTCTCGTCTAGATTACAGCTTTTCGTAAGCAAGGTTCAGTACACCTATGCTGCCCAAGATTCATAGAAATGCATGCTGGGGCAGGTCATCAGCTTTCTGTCTATGACTGGGGTTCAGTACACCTATCTTGCTGAAAATCTTTCTATGGTGAAATGCATGCTAAGGCAGATCATCAACTTTCTGTCTGTGACTGGGGTTCAGTACACCTATCTTGCTGAAAATCTTTCTATGGTGAAATGCATGCTATGACAGATCATCAACTTTCTGTCTGTGACTGGGGTTCAGAACACCTATCTTGCTGCAGATCCTGTAATTTTCCCACTAAAGCTTCTCCAAATGAAAGCCTATAACCAGGACTTCGGTTGTCTAATAGAGCATAAATTGTTTCATAGTATTGAGTAAGTGGTGTTTTGCTAATACAGTCATAATGGTCCCCAACAATCTAAAAATATAAAGATAACGTTCAATGATGTATTAACGAGGTCACTAGCTGCTTGTACGTAAGACAACCACTCTAATTGGCACATCAATCCTGTATTTGATTTTCATGGAATGCCCTCCTGAGCTTTAATTATACATCTTTATGTCTCTCAATATTAAAGATCACAGCGAATTACAAGTTGGTTTTTTTTTTTTTTTTTTTTTTTTTTTTTTTTTTTTTTTTTTTGATTCAAATAATCAGATCAAGTTGTGGATTTTTAAAATTTTTATTTCATTATATTTTTTGAGGCAGTGCCTCCCACCAGGGGGACAACTGTAGAGATTGCCTGTGGTCTCTAGTAAATATACAGGATAGCCCAGAAGCTCTCTCATTCTGAATACAAATGTCCCCAAAATTAGATTGAGTTGAGTGAATACATAACAATATCTGAGATAATACATAAATTATCTTATTTCCAATTTGTCTTTTACTTCTATCTTGGACATATGGGGAAAAACATAAACTATTAAAAATATCAAGGATGAAGACGGCAGATTTAGCAATTGTGAGATTGAGGCACAGAGCACCAGTCTCAGCTCAATTCAAGGGGTGGATTTTTGAGGTAGTGTCTCCAATCAGCGGGACCTAGAGACTGAGGTCTGTGGTCGGTCTCTGTGAAATTACAGAGGGTACTGTAGCCCACAGAAGCTCACTAATTCTGAATATCTTTAATTTGGATTAGAATGACCTTCACACATATATTACATCATTATCCTTGTAGTCATAGAACATTTATAAACAAGCACTTGCAGCTTTACACGTAAGTGCAATGTTCTATATAATGGCATCGATAAGTAATTACCAAGATTACAGGACTTGCTTGCACTTTAACCAGCTTTTCCTACAAAAAAACTGTGCATGCATTATTACAAGCAATACTATACTGGCATTTTGAAATGTAAAGTGTGCTTAAACAGATAGTTGCATAACTTAAAAATAGCCCTGGCTTCTCCAGAAAGCTTAGAAAGAAATTCCAGTATCCCAGGGATTTCAGTCCCCTGTGAATTTTCCCTGCTCCTTGAGCCAACATACATCCCCCAGGAATAAACGCCCTTAAATTTCCACGTGAATTCCAGAATGGAGAGTGCCAAATTTTCAATGATATTCAGGGGTGAAGCTGAACTTACTGGTTTAGAATAGGGGAGGAAAAAATATCTGGTATATGGGTTACCATGCAGCTTGTGGACTGCAAGACAAATATTTACTAGTGACATATTGTATTCCATTTTTGAGACAGCATTAACCTTATTTTAAAGGGCAGTTGGCCCTTCATTGGTCATAGAGATTCATTTCTCTTTACTGTCCCTAACCATTTTTGTAATTCAAATTGTGGTTGAATAAATAAATGAAATTAAATGAAAATAATTTGAATGGAACATTATCTAACACCGACCCACCCCTCCCCAACTTTGCTATGCTTTGCTGTTTTAATCTTCAAATGTTATAACCAAAGATCAAAACTCAAGTATTTGTTTCACTAAATATAAAATGAAGTAGGCCTACATACAACTATGTACTGTACTATATGCTGCCATATAACAAGGAACATAATTACTGCATGTATAATAATGTACTGTATGCATAAGTGGTTGTCTAGAACAGTAGTAAAATAATGGAATTTATTAGTATTACTAATATTATTACTTACTCTATAACCTGACACTGAAAGCTCAACACAGAGTTGCTCTGCTTCTTTGGTCTTTATATTCATGTAAACTATATCCTGGCGAGAGGGTAGTTTGGTAGAAACAGCCACTGAGTCCACTGCAAAACGGATGTCTTGCAACGCAGCCTCCGCCTCCACCGCCATCAATTTGATACAGTTTTCATCGGGACCTAAAGTATGGTGCTGTGAGGCTGACGTTTCCATAACGTAAGAGCCCATCAACTTACAGAATTTCGGTTCAAGTTGAAGTCGCCAGGCCACTTCTGAGCGCCCTTCCGCTCTCGAGATTAGGTGTCGATCCGACACTGACAGCGTTGGTAGTTGGAGTGGCCTTACGTTATGGCCTACAAGTTCAGTAAAATCCGTGAAAATTAAAAGACTAAATACGAAGTTAAATAACAGCCGAAATATACAATCACTGTATTCAGTGTAGCATAGCAGAGAAAGTTTATACCAATCATACGTTCCGGCTCTGCATCAGAGACAATATGGGAAATGACTACACACACGTTCGTGCTTCGCACGATGTTTGTTTTGAAATAACCTTCCCACACTGTCGGTGTGTCACAGGTCAATGTTGTCGTCTGCTTCCAAATCTAAATATTAGAGGGCGATATACAGATACTTTCGTCGACTTTCGTTAAACCACTGCCATAGTTTTGTTCCTAATCTGATTAGTCGGTTTTTGTTTACTTTCTGCTATACTTCTGCAATTTTGTAAATATATATGCATGGGTGAGATTTTCTCATCAGTATTCATGATAATGATCTCAAAATGTCTCTGTCTCTTTTCGGATTTACGGTATTTTTGTTTTATTTAAGTCTATTTCTCTACTTTTATTAAAACCATTTGTTTGTTATTTAATTTTATTGTTTTTTTTATATTTACTTTCTGTTATACTTCTCTGTAATTTTGTAAATACTGTATATATGGATGGGTGAGATTTTCTCATCAGTATTCGTGAAAATTATAAAATAGATCGAAACACTGAATCTCAAAATGTCTCTGTCTCTTTCCGGATTTACTGTCTTTTTGTTTATTTAAGTCTATTTCTCTACTTTTAATTAAACCATTTATTTGTTTGTTATTTAATTTTATTATATATTTAACCAAGGAATTTTAACTGATTTGACAAAAAGTGTTAGGAGGCACTAGAATAAAGCTAACTGGAGAAAAAAAAACCCCGATTATAGAAGTGAAATGATGTGAAAAAAAGGAAAACCACAAATCCAACTTCATAAAATGTAAATTGCCAAAAAGCACTAACTTGGAAATAAGTTACGAACTTTATATAGAAAATGAACAGGACGATTTTAACAAAGAGGGTGAAAGAAAAAAATATATAGCAGAGGGAGATTTCGATGAAATTATGGTCCAGAACGCTTCCGCTTCCGTTTTTACAGATTTTTAAAACAAAAGTTGAATTTAATGACAAAATTACGTATGCCTAGGTAAAAAGGGCATTCTTATTTGATTGCGTAGAACTATTTATTAGTAGGCCTACTGTATTAGCTCAGCACTGAGCCTGGCTACAATCGTGCGTTCCATTTAAACAGCAAATTAATAATAGGCCTATAGGCCTAGTAAATTACCACGAGTTTCATCATGCTATATTCAAATTATTTCGATGCCTTAGAAGGATTTATTGTGCAGCAGAGTGGCGCAGCGGAAGCGTGCTGGGCCCATAACCCAGAGGTCCGAGGATCGAAACCTCGCTCTGCTATTTCTTTTTCTTTTTATTGGAAGTCGAAATACCAATTTTTATTTCTAGTGGAGGTTTGTAATTTAATTGTATTAACTAATTTTACAAATTCATAAGAGGTACTAGAATAGTTCAGTAAAAGCAAACTGGAGAAACCGCTGATGAGCATTTTGATATTCTTTAAAAAAAAAAAAACGATATAGAAGTGACATGATGAAAAAATGGAAAAACACAAATCCAACTTCCTAAAAAGGTAAATTGTCGAAAAACCACTAACTTGGAAATATAGTTCTGAGCTTTATAAAAATTAACAGAACGCTTTTAAAACGAAGATCGTGAAAAAAAAAATATTATACAGAGCGATGTTTCGATCCTCGGACCTCTGGGCTAGGGGCCCAGCTGCACGCATCCGCTTTGCCACTCTACTTACACGTTATTAAAAGCTGGATTTAATTGGAAAAAATATTGTACGTAAAAATGAAAAGATAAAAAGGGCATTTTTATTTGATCGCGTAGTACTATTTATTAGTATTAGCTCAGCAGCCTGGTTTTAACCGTGCATTCCATTTAAAAAGCAAAATTAATAAATAATACGGTACACGTACAATAGTAAATTACCACGAGTTGCATCATGCTACATTCAAGATATTACAACGCCCTTGAGCCTGTTTTCATGTGCAGCAGAGTGGCGCAGCGGAAGCGTGCTGGGCCCATAACCCAGAGGTCCGAGGATCGAAACCTCGCTCTGCTATTTCCTTTTGCTAACCGAAGTCGAAATGCCTATTTTTATTTTAACTATTTCTAGTGGGAGTTTGTAATTTAATTATATTATGTACGGTATTTAACCATGGACCTATTTAACCAAGGAGTTTTAACTGATTTGACAAATCGATAAGAGGTACTCCCACGGAACTTGAATAGTGCAGTAAAAGCAAACTGGAGAAACCACTGAACATTTTGATATTCCTTAAAAACAAAACAAAAAACAAAAAAACAAACCGATTATAGAAGTGACATTATGAAAAAAGGGAAAAACACAAATCTAACTTCCTAAAAGGTAAATTGTCGAAAAACCCCTAACTTGGAAATATAGTTAACTTTATAAAAAAAATTAACAGAACGCTTTTACAACGAAGATCGTGAAAAAAAAATTATACAGAGCAAGGTTTCGATCCTCGGACCTCTGGATTATGGGCCCAGCTGCCCGCTTCCACTTTTGCACTCTACTTACACGTTATTAAAAGCTGGATTTAATTGGAAAAAATATTGTACGTAAAAATGAAAAGATAAAAAGGGCATTTCTATTTGATCGCGTAGTACTATTTATTAGTATTAGCTCAGCAGCCTGGTTTTAACAGTGCATTCCATTTAAAAAGCAAAATTAATAAATAATACACGTAGTAAATTACCAGGAGTTGCATCATGCTATATTCAAGATATTACAAGCCCTTGAGCTTGTTTTCACGTGCAGCAGAGTGGCGCAGCGGAAGCGTGCTGGGCCCATAACCCAGAGGTCCGAGGATCGAAACCTCGCTCTGCTATTTCTTTCTCTTTAATGGAAGTCGAAATGCCTATTTTTATTTTAACTATTTCTGGTGGGGGTTTGTAATTTAATTTATTACATATTTTACCAAGGAGTTTCAACTGATTTGACATATTGATAAGAGGTAACGTAAAAGCAAACCGGAGAAACCGCTGAACATTTTGATATTCTTTAAAAAAGAAAAAAAAAAAAAAAACGGCTATAGAAGTGACATTATAAAAAAAGGGAAATACACAAATCTAACTTCCTAACTAAGGTAAATTGTCGAAAAACCACTGACTTGGAAATATAGTTCTGAATTTTATAGAAAATTAACAGAACGCTTTTACAACGAAGATCGTGAAAAAAAAAATTATACAGAGCGAGCCCATAACCCAGAGGTCCGAGGATCGAAACCTCGCTCTGCTATTTGTTTTTTTTTTTTTAATGGAAGTCGAAATTCCTATTTCTCTGCTCTTATTTCATCATGTATCTGTTTGTTATTTCATTTGATTAACCCTATGTTTATTTAACCAATGAGTTTAACTCATTTGACAAAGTGATGAGAGGTACTACTACTAATAGATAAAAGAATACAGGAAAATCAAACCGAAGTAAACCTCTGAACATTATTTGACATTCTTAAAAAGCCCCAATTAATAAAGAAGTGATATGAGAACAAGCGAAAACAAAAATCCAATTATCCCTAAGAAACCAAAATTAAGAAACGTATGGAAGCTGGCTATGCTTTTCAGGCTGGGCGATAGTTTCTTATGCAAAAATAACGAATGATGTCTTTGTTTTGGGCCTAGGCCTATAGTTAAATTTTAAGGAACATAGAAGTTCATTCATTCCGTAGGATTTTGAAAACATACAAAAAATACAATACATAGTCACATTCAAATTTAGTATGGGGGGGGGGTGGTTAGATAATTCTTCTTCATCACCCTATTTAAATGTTTTTTTTTATATTTTGTGTTGTTATTCATGTGAATTTGAATGTTTTATGCGTAGGACCCTTTGGGTGAACAGTAAAATTTTACTGAAGAGATAACACAGTATTTAAAAAACAAATAAATGAAATGAAATGATGATCATAAGAATTTCATTAAAAAAAAATAAAATGGAAAAACTGTAGGGAAACATAAAAAAAATAATTGTAGAAAGATTGCAATAAATAATAAATTAAAAAAAATATGACGGTTTTTATCACAAAAGAAAAGGGGAAAAAATTATAGCAGAGCGAGGTTTCGATCCTCGGACCTCTGGGTTATGGGCCCAGCACGCTTCCGCTGCGCCACTCTGCTTACTCATTATTAAAGTAAAAGTTGAATTTAATTGGCAAAAATTGTACGTAAAAAAAAGGGTAAAAGGGCATTTATATTTGATCACGTAGTACTATTTATTAGTATTAGCTCAGCAGCCTGGTTTCAACTGTGCATTCCATTTAAAAAGTAAAATTAATAAATAATACACACGTAGTAAATTACCACGAGTTGCATCATGCTACATCCAAGATATTACAACGCCCTTTACCTTGTTTTCATGTGCAGCAGAGTGGCGCAGCGGAAGCGTGCTGGGCCCATAACCCAGAGGTCCGAGGATCGAAACCTCGCTCTGCTATTTCTTTCTCTTTAATGGAAGTCGAAATGCCTATTTTTATTTTAACTATTTCTGATGGGGGTTTGTAATTTAATTGTATTACGTATTTAACCAAGGAGTTTCAACTGATTTGACATATTGATAAGAGGTAACGTTTTAGCAGTAAAAGCAAACCGGAGAAAACGCTGAACATTTTGATATTCTTTAAAAAAAAAAATAAAAAAAACGATTATAGAAGTGACATTATAAAAAAGGCAAAAACACAAATCTAACTTCCTAAAAGGTAAATTGTCGAAAAACCACTGACTTGGAAATATAATTCTGAACTTTGTAGAAAATTAACAGAAGGCTTTTAGAACGAAGATCGTGAAAAAAAAACATTGTAGCAGAGCGAGGTTTCGATCCTCGGACCTCTGGGTTATGGGCCCAGCACGCTTCCGCTGCGCCACTCTGCTAACAACTTATTAAAAGTTGAATTTAATTGGAAAAAAAATTGTACGTAAAAGAAAGGATAAAAAGGGCATTTTTATTTGATCGCATAATACTATTTATTAGTATTAGCTCAGCAGCCTGGTTTCAACTGTGCATTCCATTTAAAAAGCAAAATTAATAATTAATAAAGGTAGTAAATTACCACGAGTTGCATCATGCTACATTCAAGATATTACAACGCCCTTGAGATTAGTTTCATGCGCAGCGGAAGCGTGCTGGGCCCATAACCCAGAGGTCCGAGGATCGAAACCTCGCTCTGCTATTTGTTTTTTTTTTTAATGGAAGTCGAAATGCCTATTTCTCTGCTCTTATTTCATCATGTATCTGTTTGTTATTTCATTTGATTAACCCTATGTTTATTTAACCAATGAGTTTAACCCATTTGACAAAGTGATGAGAGGTACTACTACTAATAGATAAAAGAATACAGGAAAATCAAACCGAAGTAAACCTCCGAACATTATTTGACATTCTTAAAAAGCCCCAATTAATAAAGAAGTGATATGAGAACAAGCGAAAACAAAAATCCAATTATCCCTAAGAAACCAAAATTAAGAAACGTATGGAAGCTGGCTATGCTTTTCAGGCTGGGCGATAGTTTCTTATGCAAAAATAACGAATGATGTCTTTGTTTTGGGCCTAGGCCTATAGTTAAATTTTAAGGAACATAGAAGTTCATTCATTCCGTAGGATTTTGAAAACATACAAAAAATACAATACATAGTCACATTCAAATTTAGAATGGGGGGGGGGGGTAGATAATTCTTTTTCATTACCCTATTTAAATGTTTTTTTTTTTATATTTTGTGTTGTTATTCATGTGAATTTAAATGTTTTATGCGTAGGACCCTTTGGGTGAACAGTAACATTTTACTGAAGAGATAACACAGTATATATAACACAAAATATATGTACATATGCAGCTCTGTTAATATTTCTGGCTTAACCATCCACTGTGGGAGCGTTTCATAAGTTCAGATGTAGGCCTACGAGAGAAAGTGCCTGGGTAAGATCTGCGTGTAAACCTATGCAGGGGTCCCAAGTTGGAAGAAGTCAATTCCGGGGGGAGGGGGTGGGGCCCTGTCGGGGAGAAATAAACTTAACTATGTATTTTCTACATAAATAATTGTCAAACATTTAGGGGCTTCGCCTCCTTGACCAAATTCCGATATATTTTGAACAACTCCCGACTACGCCTACTTTCGCAGTGACGGATCCGAAAATTCGCAATAAGGGAGCAGAGAGGGGCTTGTCGGATTTCTTGTCTCTCCGTCTTTTTGTGAATCGTATTTTATGTGAATTGTATTTTGAGACGAATAAATAAAACGAAATAAAGTAATAAACACTGGCAATGACGCGAGACAATTGATAAGCAGTGAAAACATGCATATATATGAATTTGCGGCATATGGGTTAATTTCCGGGAGATTCTTACTTGTTTGCGGGAGTTATACTTCTCTGTAATTTTGTAAATACTGTATATATGGATGAGTGAGATTTTCTCATCAGTATTCGTGAAAATTATAAAATAGATCGAAACACTGAATCTTAAAATGTCTCTGTCTCTTTCCGGATTTACTGTCTTTTTGTTTATTTAAGTCTATTTCTCTACTTTTAGTTAAACCATTTTATTTGTTTGTTATTTAATTTTATTATATATCTAACCAAGGAATTTTAACTGATTTGACAAAAAGTGATAAGAGGCACTAGAATAGTGCAGTAAAAGCTAACTGGAGAGAAAAAAAACCCGATTATAGAAGTGAAATGATATGAAAAAAAGGAAAACCACAAATCCAATTTCATAAAATGTAAATTGCCAAAAAGCACTAACTTGGAAATAAGTTACGAACTTTATATAGAAAATGAACAGGACGATTTTAACAAACAGGGTGAAAGAAAAAAATATATAGCAGAGGGAGATTTCGATGAAATTATGGTCCAGAACGCTTCCGCTTTTTAAAACAAAAGTTGACTTTAATGACAAAATTGTACGTATGCCTAGGTAAAAAGCGCATTCTTATTTGATTGCGTAGTACTATTTATTAGTACTGTATTAGCTCAGCACTGAGCCTGGCTTCAATCGTGCGTTCCATTTAAACAGCAAATTGATAATAGGCCTATAGGCCTAGTAAATTACCACGAGTTTCAACATGCTATATTCAAGATATTTCGATGCCTTAGAAGGATTTATTGTGCAGCAGAGTGGCGCAGCGGAAGCGTGCTGGGCCCATAACCCAGAGGTCCGAGGATCGAAACCTCGCTCTGCTATTTCATTTTTTTTTTTATTGGAAGTCGAAATACCAATTTTTATTTCTAGTGGAGGTTTGTAATTTAATTGTATTAACTAATTTGACAAATTCATAAGAGGTACTAGAATAGTTCAGTAAAAGCAAACTGGAGAAACCGCTGATGAGCATTTTGATATTCTTTAAAAAAAAAAAACGATATAGAAGTGACATGATGAAAAAATGGAAAAACACAAATCAAACTTCCTAAAAAGGTAAATTGTCGAAAAACCACTAACTTGGAAATATAGTTCTGAGCTTTATAAAAAAATTAACAGAACGCATTTAAAACGAAGATCGTGAAAAAAAAAAAATTATACAGAGCGAGGTTTCGATCCTCGGACCTCTGGGTTATGGGCCCAGCTGCACGCTTCCGCTTTGCCACTCCACTTACACGTTATTAAAAGCTGGATTTAATTGGAAAAAATATTGTACGTAAAAATGAAAAGATAAAAAGGGCATTTTTATTTGATCGCGTAGTACTATTTATTAGTATTAGCTCAGCAGCCTGGTTTTAACCGTGCATTCCATTTAAAAAGCAAAATTAATAAATAATACACAGTCTCCTGATGAAGTTCACTGTGTGGACGAAAGCTAGAGAATAAATTATATATTGTTAGTCTCAAAAGTGCTGCTGTTTTTTACTTTATACTTCTATACTGTACAGACTAACGCGGCTATACTTTTTATTCTAAATAATACACGTACAGTAGTAAATTACCACGAGTTGCATCATGCTAATTCAAGATATTACAACGCCCTTGAGATTAGTTTCATGTACAGCAGAGTGGCGCAGCGGAAGCGTGCTGGGCCCATAACCCAGAGGTCCGAGGATCGAAACCTCGCTCTGCTATTTCTTTTGTTAACCGAAGGCGAAATGCCTATTTTTATTTTAACTATTTCTAGTGGGAGTTTGTAATTTAATTGTATTACGTATTTAACCATGGACCTATTTAACCAAGGAGTTTTAACTGATTTGACAAATTGATAAGAGGTACTCCCAAGGAACTTGAATAGTGCAGTAAAAGCAAACTGGAGAAACCGCTGAACATTTGGATATTCCTTAAAAACAAAACAAAAAAACAAACCGATTATAGAAGTGACATTATGAAAAAAGGGGAAAACACAAATCTAACTTCCTAAAAGGTAAATTGTCGAAAAACCACTAACTTGGAAATATAGTTCTGAACTTTAATGGAAGTCGAAATGCCTATTTTTATTTTAACTATTTCTGGTGGGGGTTTGTAATTTAATTGTATTACATATTTAACCAAGGAGTTTCAACTGATTTGACATATTGATAAGAGGTAACGTTTTAGCAGTAAAAGCAAACCGGAGAAACCGTTGAACATTTTGATATTCTTTAAAAAAAAAAGAAAAAAAAACAAAAAAACGATTATAGAAGTGACATTACAAAAAAGGGAAATACACAAATCTAACTTCCTAAAAGGTAAATTGTCGAAAAACCACTGACTGGGAAATATAGTTCTGAACTTTATAGAAAATTAACAGAAGGCTTTTACAACGAAGATCGTGAAAAAAAAAATAATATTGTAGCAGAGCGAAGTTTCGATCCTCGGACCTCTGGGTTAAGGGCCCAGCACGCTTCCGCGGCTGCGCCACTCTGCTAACGCGTTATTAAAAGTTGAATTTAATTGGAAAAAATTGTACGTAAAAGAAAGGATAAAAAGGGCATTTTTATTTGATCGCATAATACTATTTATTAGTATTAGCTCAGCAGCCTGGTTTCAACTGTGCATTCCAAATTAATAAAGAAGTGATATGAGAATAAGCGAAAACAAAAATCCAATTATCCCTAAGAAACCAAAAATAAGAAACGTATGGAAGCTGGCTATGCTTTTCAGGCTGGGCGATAGTTTCTTATGCAAAAATAACGAATAATGTCTTTGTTTTGGGCCTAGGCCTATAGTTAAATTTTAAAGAACATAGAAGTTCATTCATTCCGTAGGATTTTGAAAACATACAAAAAATACAATACATAGTCACATTCAAATTTAGAATGGGGGGGGGGGGTAGATAATTCTTTTTCATTACCCTATTTAAATGTTTTTTTTTTTATATTTTGTGTTGTTATTCATGTGAATTTAAATGTTTTATGCGTAGGACCCTTTGGGTGAACAGTAACATTTTACTGAAGAGATAACACAGTATATATAACACAAAATATATGTACATATGCAGCTCTGTTAATATTTCTGGCTTAACCATCCACTGTGGGAGCGTTTCATAAGTTCAGATGTAGGCCTACGAGAGAAAGTGCCTGGGTAAGATCTGCGTGTAAACCTATGCAGGGGTCCCAAGTTGGAAGAAGTCAATTCCGGGGGGAGGGGGTGGGGCCCTGTCGGGGAGAAATAAACTTAACTATGTATTTTCTACATAAATAATTGTCAAACATTTAGGGGCTTCGCCTCCTTGACCAAATTCCGATATATTTTGAACAACTCCCGACTACGCCTACTTTCGCAGTGACGGATCCGAAAATTCGCAATAAGGGAGCAGAGAGGGGCTTGTCGGATTTCTTGTCTCTTGGCAATCGACCGAAAATAAAAAGGTCGAATCTAAAGCAGGCTCCAAGAAATAGTTTGAACACGATGACAAAGAATAAAAACTAATAACACATTGTACACTTTTATATTATTATTCTCTTTAAAGATTTAAAAAATATGCATCATAAAATTATATAATGGGAGTAAATATATATGGACAGTTTTTTATTAACCATAGAAAGTGACCCTTCCAGCATATCCCAGAAGGTCGGATGATATTCAGGGGCACTCTTTTAAATAAATGAGATCATGGACCTATTATTAATAGGTCCATGATGAGATATTGTGATGGTTTTATCAGCGAAGTCTCTTTTTGAGGCTACGGAGTGGAGTTGTCTTCAGTCGTTTAGAAAAAGTCCTGCTAACAGGAATTAAACCCAGGACCATGGGATTAGAATGCAAATTCAACTCTACTCCAGTTGAATTTCTGTGAGTAGAGAAGTACTTATTGGTGGCAATTTGTATGGGAAAGCAAGTGAAATCATGCTCAATAAATGTCATCTCGACACTACCTTTACAACTGGTTAGCAGAATACACTTAGATATGTATAAAATGGGTAGTATAAAAATGAAAACTATAGATTAAAAAATTTACATTGAATATGTACAATTTCTTATATGCCATAAATGTATTATTATCTGGACAAATAGTAGTACTTTTCTGGTCACAGAAATATAACAACTATGTATACTAAATAATTCTCTGTGGTGAACTACTGAATATTGCAATCACTCCACTTTTGCATATACAGTATCTCAATTTATGGTAACACACACTTTAAAGACCGCCCTCTCTGTCACACAACAGTATTGAAGTCCCACACACGCAGTTTATTGTCATAGGATGCACTAACTATTTTCGTCTTATCACACACGATGCAGTTGATTTGTGTTGAATGGCCTCGTAGTGTATGCTTACATTTGCCCCTGTCAAGTCAACAAATAATTATGAGATTTTAATAAAAATGTGTCAAATGTACTAACATGGCTAATCACTAAAACTTATATACACAAAAAAAAACCATACTGTAGAAATGTGTATGTACTTTACATTATAATAATGATACTAATAATATTAACATTAATAATAAGATTTATATATACTGGTATATTTTTATATAAATATTGTACTCTAGTTTATTGTTTTCTAATTACAAAAAACAAATCATACAACTGTTGAGGGTAAGGGCTAAATATAGCAAATACAATATAAATGGCATCTATTCATTCACTTACTTTAAAATATCCCAGTACTTTATGTGGCCATCCTGTCCAGCACTCACCAGTAGCCCACTAGGATTGTCTGGGTCTGATGTATCATCTACTCGTACATTTAAACTTTCAACTCTGACATATATGAGAAGAAAATAAGAAAATAAAACAATTTTTTACAGACACATTTTTATTGAAACAAAAGAGAGCTGTGAAAACAATTCTATAATGTTGGTAAAGAGCTGACCATGAGGAATGTGACGGCACTGGCGTCTCATTAATATTATCTAACTAATCTGAAGCAGGTGTTAAAAGATGTTAAAAACATGCAGAATCTAGTGTGACATTCCCTTTTATGTACTCTGAATCCTTTCAAATAAGCTTAATAGAGCACATTGAGATCATTTAAGAGTCCAAAAACAAGAAACAAAGTGGGGTTTGGAAAATATATTTTAGTATTAAACTAAACTATTTGTATGAGGTGGAGAAGATATTCCTGCCCCCTAATAACCTGTGCCAACTCCATGTGCATTCACTGGAAATTTTCTGGGCAAAATATTATGCTCAAGTTGTTAAAAATCATCTCACATCACCTTACAATGTCACCTATAGCAGTTTTTCACTTGGTACCTTGCACTTTCACTTCAAAATGCTCCATGGGGTTTAAACTGGAGACATTGTGGTAGAGACCACACCCCTCCCAACCATAATCTGCACACCCCCAGCCCTCACCAGCTTCCCCAAATCCAATACTCTTAAATATGCCAGTGTGTATTCAACAATAAAGCACTGTAGAAACAACACTGATGAGGCTGATAATTCTATTGTCAAAACACAACGACTGAAAACCTGTGTTTACCGTTTTTCATGTTCATCGAATGTTCTAACGCAGACCCCGGTATCAACCCTCCATAGAGAGATGATCTCACCAACAGAGCATGCTATGTAACCATGGTGATAGCTAAGTGACATTATTGAGGTTGTCTGACTTGCCCATATGACCTTCATGTGCCGACCTGTTTCTGTGCTCCATATTCGAATGCTCTAAAAAAAAACCAATTACTTTTAATTAATATTCTTCATACTTTCATTCATTTACACATTTCGCTTTAATACTTATTCATTCACTTAATGATCTATTCATTATTTCATTCAATTATACATGTGTGTTTTTTTTTCATTTAGGAATTTCCTTTATTCATTCATCCATCCATCCCTCCATCCATGCATCCATCCATTCAGCCAGCCATCCCTCTAGCCAAGTTCATATTTGAAATTAAAATGAAAAAAATGTTTTATTTGACTCACTCTGTCAGCTGAGCCTGTTATCACAATAGTACAGTTATCATCCATGTCAATGCAAAAGACAGCCTGGGCATGCCCAGACAGCGTGTGAAGCAGCATACACCGTCCAATATGCCACAGTTTAGCCTATGAAAATGAAAACAATTTTTAAATAATGTTATCACATCACTATAAAGAAATTCTAAGAAGAGGAAATACAATTACATTATATTAGTCATTTTAATTTTTTTTAAATCATTTCACAGTTGTATAAATCCACAATTGATCTATCCCACTTCTGACGCCATGTGATAATTTTTTATGTACATACAAACATAATTGGACAAATGTATGAGACAAGTTACTACTGTATTCCAGAAATATAACAATGTTGACTTGCTGCCAATGTCACAACAATGATATACTAAGTTCTGATAATGATTTAGATATATTTCATTTAATTTTACAGATTTTTGATAAAATACAACTAGATGCATTTTTTTTCTTTAAATAAAATTCATCTGATCCAGTGAAAAGTAAAGAAAAAGAAAAGTAAACACATTTATAATGTAGAGATATAAACACACCGTCCTGTCCTGCGAGGCAGATGCAAGTAGGTTTTTCTTGCGAACCATCGCCCACACTGCCCCATTATGCCCATACAATGTCCTACTACATGATCCTGTCCGCAGGTTCCAAACTTTTATTGTGTTATCAAAAGAACCACTAACAAGCAAGTTTTCAGTAAAAAACTGCAGACACCAAACTCCTTTCTGTAAGAGAAAAATAATCATTGTATGCTGATAGTATTTGTTTTCAGATTTAAATGAAGGAATCGAATCACTACATCGAATGTGTAACTAAACGTCATAAGACAAATATTAAGAAGAATTTAAACAAACACTAATCTAATAACTGAAGGTGCATCTACACTCTGGCCAGAAATTCAATAAAGTATTGTTTAATCAGTAAACATGGAGTGTGGAAAGTTAATTGAACATATATATGCACTTTAAAATAGCCTATAATCATATTATTTTTAAATTACAGTACAAATATTTTCTAGATAGAGGGAGATAAAAGTTGTTTGCCAAAGAGACACACAAAAATCAAATTGAGCAGTTGAGTCTCTGTCTTCAAGACAGAGAGCTTGAAGAGCAACACTCATGCCAATATATTTTAAACTAGTTTCTAAGGTGGTGTATGTTAATACTACAGCAAACCTAGTACAGTGACCGATATCAACTGATTGTTCTTTATTAATTTTCTCATCACTGAATGTGCACAGAGGTCATAGCAATATAGTATGGATTTTAACCTGAGCAAGTCTCTAATTAGTACTTTATTACTTTAGCAAAAAATTTAACAAACTGAATCTTTGTACCTAATCTTTGAATAGCTATCTCATCCAAACATATTTGTTATGTATAAACAATAATGGGACTGAATAATGCTTGCATTTCTGATTAGCTTACCGTGTGTCCTTTTAATGTCTGTAGAAGATGACCACTTTTTGCATCCCATAATTTAATCGTTGTGTCTTTACTACCACTAGCCAATCGGTTATTACCATCATGTACAACTGATAAAACTCTATAGTACAAAAAAAGTGAAAAGTTCATGAGAATATGATGCTTGATTACACCAGTTTGAAGTATTTTCTCAATCCTTATTTAAAAGTGTAGAAAAGTCATACTTAGCAGAATGTCCCTTGAGGTCAGTTTCTTTACATTGTCCGCTGTTCCAATTACGTTTCAGGAATTTGTTATCGCGATAAATATCTTTCCATCTTACTTCATTTTCTGGAATAGGCACAGCTGTAAAATATTAAAAAATTTAATTAGGCTGGTAAGGAGTTGGTCAGAAATGCTAAATATGATAATAAATTGCAAATGCATAAAAAAAATTTGCAATAATCTGGCCTTCCATACTTATGACAAAAGCAACTTACCAATATTAACCTGATCACATTTGGCCTTCCATACTTCATTATGACTTGATAGTTTGTTCCATGCATGACTTACTCGAGCAGCAATCAACAAATGTTTAGGGTCAAGATTGCGCAAAATTCTAAACGCGATGTCTTCTGGAAGCAAAGTTATGAAGTCTCGATACTTCTTCAACTGCAACAAAAACAAATTAATTATAAAAATAGATTTATTTGTTATTTGCTTTTTAGTAAATGAGTAGCCTCCCCACTGTTAAATTTTCATTCTATGATTTAATCATGGTGCAAAAATAGTGTAATTTTATGAATTAATTAAGTATTAATTATGTAAATGATCAATTACCATAACTACACAGGTACATTAATAAGTGCCATCTCCTTCTTACTTTGACTTTTTGTGAATCTGAAGAGTACTTCACAAAAGCAAAATGCCTTATTGTTATCTATTGTCATCTGGTAGTGCATAGTCAGAGATATCTACTTACCGCCAATATGCTTGAGACAAAATATAGCTGCCTTGCATCCAAACGCTTCATCAAGAGGTGAAGAAACTCATTCCTTTGAACATCTTCAAGTTAAAAAAAAAATGTTTCCTTAAAAATTAATATATTTATTCATTTGTTATACCACACTATTTCTCTAAGGTAGTGGCCTATACAGTGGGGACTATGATAAAGGAGACACAGTGTCTAGCATATTGCTAAGCAACAGCATACCTGTCCAGTAGCTTGTGTACCAATGAAACAGTTGCCATGCCTCATCTGGCTTGGACACCACTGGCTCTAAATTTCTAGGATCTGTTCCTGACTGTAAAATAATAAAACAAATCAAAAAGAAAAAGAAAGAAAAAACAATAAAATACATGAGTTATTTGATACTTAGAAAGTAGATAAATTAAATGGTGTTTTCTTACCTACTGGACTACTATCATTAACTAACTTACCATGGAAGATCTTGTTCTGTTCAGCTGAATTGCCGACATAGATTTCACCAAGCGAGGTCTCTCTTCCACTACCATTGGCTCATAACGTATCTCCTTCAAGTTAGAGCTATGAACATTATTAGCAACCTGTGTTTCTTGGACATGTCTCCGTATAGAGGGAAATACATTAACCCTACAGAATAAAAATTATAATTTTACATAAATACAGCAATGGTTCTCCAATTTCACACTGATGGATTTCATGATCAACAAAAAATTTTGAAATAGTGCCCTAAGTTATCCACTTTTATTCTAAATATGTGTTTAATTTACTAGTTAAATTTTTTTATCAATAAATTACTAACATATTGAGGAGGGTTTATTTAGTGTTCAGTTGGCTCATAAATTATCCCAGCATTTTAGGTTTCAAAGCACATAAAAAGACCAAGACATTTTTTCAAAAATAATGTCAACTCCACTCTCTATGCCTCACAATGACATCATCACTTGCACAGCAAATTTTCATCCTGTAATGGGCGCATCAGCTTGGTCTACGACAATGAATGAGTTTGTCATCTAACATGTCCATCATCTTACCTGACCCCTCCTGCTGGTGCTGACTTGCTCAGTGGATGTTGCGTCTTTTTATAATTCATTGGAAGACCTCTGTGTATTGTTGGTAATTTGGAGGTACTCTTGGTTAAACCTGGTAAATCCCATCTTGATTTGTAATTGCTAAGAAATTTATAAAAAAAAGAAATAAATTGTGTTTATATAAATTATAATCATTCTATGAACTGTGAATGCTATCTTAAATTTGCGTAACCCTCTAGGTGATTTGTAAGCCATCAAGGTGAGTAACTCTTCAAAAGGAATATATTACTGCCTATCAGTGGCAGCTCTAGGATATATTTTCTGGGGGCTGAGCTGTCCGACAAGGGGACTTGGGCTCGTACGCCCTAGCTGGGGGATGGGTTTGAGAGGGTGTTACCCCTCCCAAATGAGATTTTTTTTTAGAATAAGAAACTCTCTGATTGTGGCAGACATGTGATGGCTTGGCGCCGCCACTGCTGCCTATATTATTTTCCACATTTTGAAGTTATAGAAACTACAGCATTTATGAGATTGATTTAAAATATATAATTATAATAATAATAATAATAACAATATAAACAACAACAAGTGCTAGTTATAATAATAATAATAATAATAATAATAATAATAATAATAATGTTATAAAGAATGTCAAGATTAAAGATTCAAAAATAAAAATGACGTTAAGGGGAAAACAGCACAAAAGATATTCCCCTTAAGTCCGAGTTAGTGCTAATTATCATAATAATAATAATAATAATGATGATATAAAGAATGTCAAGATTAAAGATTCAACATAGATTTTATTGTCACATAATAAAAATATATATGAAATTTGCTTTTCGTATATAACAATATAACATACATATCACAAAATATAAATATATATATATATATATTACACAAAGTACAATAGCACCAAAGTCTTAACTAACTTAACTAAATAGAAAGACAGTAAAATGGACTTAAAACAACTATGGTACCAAATCTAAGACAGTGATTATCTGGAGAATTGATTATTGTAGAGCCCACATGTGTGGTATGAATGAATTTTTAACCGGTTTGTTTTGACAGTAGATTGTCAAATTCTTCCTGATTTGTTGAAAGTTATGTAGCCATTTAATGAGTCAGACTCATCCTTTAATATTCTTTCTAATTTCGTAAGGGCCGACTTATCACAAAAACTGTTAAGACTTGGAAACTCCATACCAATTATTTTTCCTGCCACTCAATTATTTTCTCAATTTGATTACTATTTTTCTTTGTTAGGTTCAGTAAACCAGGCAATACAGCAGAAGCAGATAGCTGATTTTATTACACTCTGATAGAAGAGAGACAGGCACTTCTTGCCCTACATTAAACTTATTTAGCTTACTTAATGATATGAATGTTAACATCTCTTAATGAACAGCCTACTACTGTATTGTGTACTACTGTACAAAGTACCCGTAGGAAGTTATATGCTTAATGGGAAAATCAATGTATGTATACCAATTTGACCTAGCTCTGTAGAAGAGTAAATAAACGGTAGTTAGTATTGTGTCCAAATCCTGATGGGGATAATGCTTGATTCAACATAATTATGATGATAATATAAATGTTATTCAGACACATTAGATTTACTTACTGAGTTTGATCAGCATTCATCTCCTTTGCTGACTGAGGAGGTGTAAGTAGGGAATTGCATTGTATAATGTCCTTACGAGCTTGAAGATGAGCACTGCATATTTCAAATCAAAAGTGACAAAAGATTGTTAAAATATTTTTAAATGATGCACAAGGATTCTTTATTGTCTCTTCTAAAAAAAAAATAATATACAAACAGCTTTCCAAATAATAGCATTAATAGCTCTAAAGATGATGCAAGTTCATTTTTAAAATTTTCCTCTTACAATCATAGGCCTTTGTGTGCTTAAAATGCAGGCCTAGTATGTTACACTAGATAACTTATTTTTCAGTAATACATACTTGTATGTCAATAATGTTAATTCAATATATCAAATGTAATCATCATTTTTTTTGCAGTCATACAACAGAGTTAACCACCTCAATACCTGGATAAACACCACAGCAATCATGTAATTACAGTTTTGTGTTTTATAGTATCCATAAAGTGAGGTAACTGTCACCTCTGCCTTCAGCATGTCTGCTTACCTTTCTAAGCGGTGGTATTTCTTTAAGCGTCGTCTCACTTTTTTCGTCCTGGATACTTGCGTGCTGATGGGTGTGAATTTATTCTGGGGGAAATCTTGCTTTGATGTATACATAAAATCCCGATGAAGGGTTGGTAAAAGAGTAGTAGACAGAAACGAGAATTGGTTGAAATTGCTCAGGGACATCAAACCTTCTAGGATTGTACATCTCTAAAAGAATAAAAAGATGATTGAAAAATTAAAAATTACCTATAAATAATTTTTCACAATACTGTTTTATCACCTCAAATGTAAAAAATTATATTTGGCTTGTGGATGGCAGAAATGAGCAATTCTACATTGTGTGATAAGTCAGGTAAATTTTTGTGTTCGCTGTTTAATTTCATCACTAATCTTATTTATGAGGAAACATTTCCTTAAAGCCATTGTTCCCACGAATCTTGGAAGCTGAAATTATTTATCACCAAAATTTATGAGGTACTCACCTGCACGTGCGACCAGGCATCAATCCAGAGGACCAGATGATCAAGTTGTCGCTCAAACTCCAGCTTATCTGCTGTCAACTCCTTGCCATGGAAGCAAGACCAGGATTTATCAACCTCTTCATATTCAGTCCTTAATGTTGATAGTTTATCCATTTACTGAACTTGCACCGAACAGCAGTCTTTGACTAAGTAAAATAATACAGTTGGCTTTACGCAATAATTAAGATATATATATATATATATATATC